TCCTTCTACCACAACAGACTTACCAGCTGCACACAGCTATATCAGAAATTGGATTAGTATCAGCCAGTATGCCTCCTTAAATATCAGCTACCGGTATCAGCCACCGAAATCTCTGTCGGTGTACCCTTACCGTACACAATGCCCCGTGCAAAGTACAAATGTGTTATTTCTGCATCTACAGACACCTTTGTAGAAGATAAACTTGAATGTGCATGTGCAAAAGCATTAAACATAGCAGATATTCTTTTTGTACACACGTTCAAGCACTAAAAATTAGGAATTAGGCACTTGTTAAAATTAAAGTTTTAAATGAATAAATAAAACAGGTAACAAGGCCTGGAGGACGGATCCAAGCATTAGCTGCCAAGAACTTCTGAGCTGTCAGTCCAGCATTGACGCAACTCTGCCCTTGGTAAATCATCCTGCATGTCTTTTCTAGAGTTTCCTCATCTACAAAGTAGGATATTTACCTACCTTGAAAGGCTGTTATGAAAATTAATTAAGGTCTGTGCTGTACTTTAAAAATGAAAACTGCTAAGTCACTGTTATTAATGAACAACCAACTATACTTCTCTTGCCTAAAATGCAGCATTACACGAATCCTAATTTGTGGCATGCCTATCAAAAAGGTCAGTCCCCACTAGTTTAAAGGAACCTTATTATTAATACCTGTATAGGAAAGGTTATCTTCATTTACCCAGATAAGTGCAGTTTTAGTTACAAAAAGTGGACACTTTACGTATGGAATTAAAATGGGGGGGAGGGGTTGTTATTCTATTTTTTAATAATTTTCTCTCTTCTCAGAACTTAATTGACCTGGATGGCAAGTGATATCAAAACTGCCCACTGTTCAAACTTCCATAGAAAAAATACCCAATAATACATTTTGCTAATATGAGTGATTTTTTTTAAAGAATATTTGTTAAATTAAAAATGCTAGCCTGCTTTGATCATGTTTCTTTTCTTAAGACCTATAATCAGTCTCTAAACATGTACCCTGATAATATTACCCCTGGAATACGATAGGTTAAGAGCATTAAAACAAAATGCACTCCACATACAAATGCACCGATACCTTTCCCAGAGCTTGCACCCATCACCTAGTCTACCAGGTCTTTATGTAAATAGAAACAAACAAGAATGCAAAAGGATCAAGTTCTCTAGCGTCTCAGCACCACGCTGCAATAATGCAGAAGATGAATAAAACAAGAATGCAAGCTGCTGGAACCCAAGGGGAAGGAGCAGTAACTTGTACACTGACTATCCACACAAGCCAGACAATTACCGCCACCCTCATAGTCACTATAATGCTCTCAAAGGGATGAGCATGGCTGTGTGGTATGTGGCACCGCAAACATGTCTGCAGTGCCACGTACCACACAGTCAGGCTTTCTCCACGCTGCAAAGGGCATGCTGCCTGTGCATGCACTGCTCCAGTTTTCTTGACCCCTGGATATCCATGGAAGAAAAAAAAACGGAGCAGTACATACTTAGGCAGCACAGGCTTCCCGAAGCCACGCTGCGGCTGCTGGCCAGGCTCCACTTGGCAGGACCACCACCGCTGCAGCCCTGGGAGGCCTCCAGGACCCCAGGTAAAGCTGCTGGGGCCAGCAAAGTGCTGGCCCCAGCCTCCCCTACCGCCTCCAGGGTAACCTGCTGCACACCAAAGCACATGTGGCACCAGCATTCCCCAGGGACAAGTAGCCGTGGCGCAAGGTGCACTGCTGCTACTTGTCCCCAGGGAACCAAACATCCGCACTCATCTGGACGTGCCCAAAAGTTTCAAACCTGAAGGTGCTAAGAACCTCACTGGAAATGCTGGGCACCCTCAGTTTCCTCACAGTAGGTACTCAAATCCTTTTTGCTCCAAATCCTATTACCTTAGCTCGCACTTGCCACATCATAAGATTCCTCATAAGTTCTCTGACATTTTCTTATTAAAATACAGATACCAGATTGTGAACTTCTGTACTTTTTAGAAAGCTCTCAAGAGAAAGTTGTGTTATATTTAGCAGCCATATGGCCTCCCTCCTCCACACACATGGTTTCTGGCTATAAGACCTGACAAATTAATTTTTAAACCACTGATCTATAATTTTTCATTTCTACTTGATATCTGAGAAGTTAACTGTGCTTTAATAATTAAATCCAGATTTTGACAGAGCAGGGTACACCAGATGTACCTGGAGTGAGTGATACAAGAACAAAAAGTTTCCTTCTGAATTAGGTGAAGATGTTTTGAAAGATGCGTGATACTATCCCTTTACAGTTCAGTGGAATAACATTTCACTTGCTACATAACTAGTTAACCAACTATCTCAAGGGCTTTCTTCTTGTGTAGTTAGTTCACGTGACAGATGGCTGATGGTACTCAGAACTGAGCATCACCTTTTGGATTTTCTTCCCAGTGCAATCCACATAGGGTCCAAATTTGCAGAGCTTAAGGTAAAACGCAAAACACTTTTAATTTTGTTTAGCATGTTGTCAGTTGTCCTTGCATAGGATCGTAGGGAAGTAGGACTGGAAGGTACCTTATGAGGTCATCTAGTCCAGCCCCCTGCTCAAGGCCCTGACTAATCCATCCCAGCCAAGTCTCTATCTAACCTGCTTTTGAAAACTTCCAAGGATGAAGATTCCACATTTTCTTTAGGTACCCTGTTCCAGTGCTTGACCGTCAGAAACGTTCTCCTAATATCCACCCTAAATTTCTCCTGCTGCAGCTTGAGGCCGTTCCTCCTAGTTCTATCCCCTACAGCCACTGAAAAAAAGCCCCATTTCCATCCTCTCTATAATTGTCCTTCAGGTACTTGAAGACTTATCAAATCCCTCCTCAGTCTTCTCTTCTCCAGACTAAATAGTCCTAGCTCTTCCAGACCTTCCTCCTAAATCTTGCCTCCCAGGCTCCTAATTATTTTTCTTGTTCTGCACTGGACTCTTCCAAAACTGTCCACATCCTTCTTGAAGGTGTAGGGCCCAAAACTAAACAATACTCAAGGCAAGGCCTCACTGAACAAACTGAAAGAGTTACACGCCTTGATTTGCAAGTGACACTCCTGTCAATATGACCCAGTATGTCATTGGCACTTTTTACAATGAGAACATACTCTCGGCTCATAATATAAGTGCAATGTATTTTGTTTATTGGCTTTAAACAGTTTTTAATTTGCGATGTTTTGTACTTTTCTACCAGATTTGCCAGTTACATGTGCAGTAGGTAGACTTCCCGTTCTTAAGCTACCTCCTGCAGCGGGACAGGTGGGGGCACAATAGCAAACGCATGAAGTTTTAAAAGTTACAAACTGAAGTGCCTAGTTGTTGGGTTGATCAAGAAGCCAGCTTCTGGAAAAATCCTCACCTCTGGACTTGGCAGTCTTGTCTTGGTCCAGTAAGACCTCAAAGTACTAGCTTTCTGGACATGCTCCAAAAGCCAACTCACTCCTGCATCTCACAGGTAAAAAGGACAGGTGACAGATAGGAGTTAGGGTCATTAGTTGTTGTCATAATTTGCTGAATTATCAGTCAAAGGAATAACCATACAGAATCACACCAACACCCCACTGAGCTAGCACCTCCTCACCAATGCTGATCAATATGAAATGCAGAGCTGTGATTCTCAACCAGGGTGCCATGAGATCCCATTAAGGGTGCCATGCTGCCCAGCCCCAGTATGAAGAGGTAACAAGCTCTCCTACCCTAGTTTAATGTCCTGCCATTGCCACCCAGCAGCACCTGCAGTTTCTCCTCTGAAGACTGTTGCTACACCTGCCCTCTCCCCATTCCTGGCAGGCCCAATGCCACCAGCAGTGTGCTGTACTGCAGGCAGACAGATGGGTGGATGTGTCGTCAGAGCCAGGCTTTGCAGCCCAGCTTGTCCCCTCCACTCCTTCCATGTTCCTGGGACAGGGATTCACAGGGAAAGGCGCTGACATGCGAGAGCCCACAGACAACTTCAGCCAGGGTAAGACACCCCTCTCCTGTACCACCTCTTCCTCCTCAAGCTGCTGCCTGGCCAGGGCTGCTGCTGGGGGGGGGAACCCCAGACCCCTCTTCCCTGCAGCCCCCCTGTTCAGGCTGCACTGGAACCCAATAGGGACAGCTATGGGAAGAGGGACCCTGGAGCCTCCTCCTGGCTGGGCTCTGGTGCACTGCAGAGCCAGGGTGGCTGAGGGGACAGAAACCCCCTTTCCTCCACCCCTAACCCCTGCAGGCTGTGCACTGGGGGGAGGGGAGAGGTTAATATCCTCTCCAAATCTCTAGGTATCTATTATATTTGGAAGGGATATAAAAGCATTATGTTTTAGAATATCAACTTCATGTTACTGAGGATACCTAGACTTCTGGAAGAGACAGAACTATTTAAACTTTGCACATTCTTGCACTGAAATGCCCCATCATTTTTTGGGCTACAATTTTATTCTTGATTTATGCCAATGCGTGCATTTGAGAAGCAGGGGAGATATGGATTGGGATGGGTTAAAATGTTATATGCAGGGAAACCACCAGAGAGCACAACAGGGTTTGATCTGCCTAAACCTATGCCAGTCACCATTTTGTGCACCTTCCTTACAATGAAAGGCCAGTTCTCAACGTGTTTATTTTAATTTGTTTATACATATGCTCAGCTTCCAAAAGTGAAAAACACCTACATTATAATATTAAGTACTGTGAAAATAAAAAAGAAAGTGTGGTTGCTTTTTCTGGCTGCATTCAAAACTGGCTCTATTTATGGCTACATGCTCCATTCATTCATTAAATGATGACAAGCTTTCCTTGAGTTGTCCTATGCCAACCCAGACAAGGTGGATTATTTCCCCTTGTCAACAGGTGGCAACTGAAACAGAAAAAGAAAAAAAAATAAAAAAAAAAAAAAAAAGGATTGCTCAGGATGTAAAACCAACCCTATAAGAGGTTTGCTAGTGCACAGACCCATTGATTACAAAGAGAAATAAGCTATTTTTAAAAGACAGGTGGAAGAAACGTTATTGAGGAAACACAAGAAAATGTATAAGACTAAAAAATACTAGTTGGGATGCTCATAAACTCAGCAGTATTTCACTATGAGGCAAGAGAATTTACTCTTTAGATGGTCCCTGTATCAGCCCAGGCAAGTAGAGCAAGCATAGTGTTACCCTGTAAAATTGACATATTAGCGCTACCTACTACCTAAGTGCTTCTGTAGTGGCAACGAACGTAGTAACAGCCAGCTCGTGTTATATAGAAACAAGACGTTCACACATCCCCATGTTCCCACACATTTCCAAGATTCTCAGTAGCCCAGATTCAGAATCAACCCTTGAAAGAAGATTACCCTTGAAGGTCCTTTTATTACTGATGTTACATAATCCAGATCAGGAAGCTAAGGAGGAGGAGGGCTTCGTCTTCAGAATTGGTCTATGTGACAGAAAAAGCTTCAATCCTGCTTTTGGAACAAAAGAATAGGCAAAGGGAGGGAAAAAAATCATGCAAATCCACGGAGGCTAAAACTTTACCAAAGTGCCATCCAAAGCTCTTCATACTCCTTTGAGAAACAACATGTTTAATCACCTTGCGCACCACAAAATAAAGTGGAATTTGTTCTTCTTGAAACAGTAACAAGAACCGCTACTTGTACTAATGATCTCTTATTGAAAAGCATCCCTGGTTGCTGCTGCTTTTCTTCTGCCAGATTTCTAGAGTATGACAAAGATATAAAACAAACAAAAAACAAAAAAATGTCCTTAAGGACACTAACAACAAGACCCAAGAGTGAAGACGGCCAGGGTCAATCAAGCTACAGATGCTGGATGCCACTCTCATGCAAACGGATACAGTCACCTTCTGGTGACTGAGCTCTCTCTCAGGTGCTAGACTAAAGGAGGGCAGGGGACCCCAAAACCAGAGTAGCGTTGGCACTTGGACAGCTCTGACTTCCTGAGGGCTTTTTTGGTGGTACAGTTTCTAGAATACACCCAGTCGCCATCCTAGTGGGGTCAGCAGTGTAATCCCACTCCTCTTTCCTCTATCTGAACAAGGCAAATCCATGATATGTCTTCAGAGGGCAGGGTTTAGATTAGATTACTGTGCACATGAACATGCGTGCAAGCATGTGTATACAGGACAAGGCGTTTGAATGAGCAATAAAAATATATTAAAGATTACTTTTCTGCATATTCCGTGCAGAAACTAAAAGCTTGCATACTTAAGGCTGAGCATGAATGCGGCATGAATTTTTTAAAGCCTCTATTGGCTCAACATGGCTTATCTAATTTCAAAACCTGTATGATTTACTCTTCACCTTGCTGAATTTTAAGAATTGATGACTATAACTATTACAAGACACTGCTTCAACTTGCTAAAAACTCTAACAGGGAATGACGCAGTCAGCACATTTATATAGAAGGATAACGATGTCTTCAGAAGACTAACTATTCCTTCCTGTTGCCTCCTACTGGTTGTGAGAAAATAATCACCTTAGAGAACAAAGAGGTAATCATGACAAAACAACAATATTTTCATGACCATGATTTCAGCCAGGTAGCATACAATAAACAAAGTGAGACTTTTAAGTAATGTAACCACACTTATAAAAAAAATCCTTTACAACAAACAGTAATAGCCAACTTTTTTCCCTTCCTTTTCCTCAACATACAAGAGCATCACATCAGAGTGGTAGGAAGGTACCTAGTCATATAAAAATCAACAAGATTTTTTGTTCCATCTGTTAATTGGAAGAAATGACATTAAACATTCCTGGGGAAAGTTGGGGTGGGGGGCAGTCCTGCCCATTCATTAACAATTCCTCCTTCAGATGCACAGCCACCAAGGTTCAAAGGTCAGATGAGCCTTTGTACTCAGTTGCAGGGTCATTACAAACAAACTATTGTTCCGGTTTCTTCAGTGAACGAAGCTGCAGCAGTTACAATGACTGAACTTTACATCCGAAGCTTGCATGCACATCATTCAACTAAAGGACTCTGGAATCTCATTTACACTTGAGGAATACATTATCAGAACTCCTTGCGGAAAAAAAAAAAAATCAATTATTGTTTATTGAGTCAAAATATTATATTTCATGCACTTATAAATATGAAGAAGGAATCCTTTGTTTATATCTGGCTTTCCTGAACACACGTTTGAAACTATTCCTCATTCATTCACTTCACAGATTCTACTTGGTAAAAAAAAAAAGACAAATCAGTCACTGCATTTTTCTTTTTAACTACAGTATTATTTGCAGTATTAAAGAAAGAAGCAACCAACCATAAGTATTCAAAATAGATGCATCTAGTCTAGGTAGGAAAATTATCATTATTTCTATAATGCAACTCAAAACATCCGGGACTGGGAGGACAACAACCACACTTGCAAGTTACAGCAAGCAGTTACTGAAATAGGACTGTATTTCCTCAATCATGGATAAAGCAACTTCAATATTGTGAACTGTCAGTTGTTTCAATTACATTTTTGAAGGGTAGAAAGGTGTGTGACGGGGAAACTTTAAAGGGAAAAATCTCAGTTTACTTAATAGATTTCTATACAATAGCACATAGGTTAGCTATTGTGAACTCAAACAAAAGCGTTTGTGGTTCAAAACAAGGAGTAAAAGCATAAATTCAAGCAAATACTCAAAGGAAGCAGCAACATATAAAGCAATTCTCAAAACAGGCCTTGTCTAAGAACAGTTTTCTTCAGTACAGCCCTATTCATGGTCCTACAAAACTCCCAAGGAAGTAAGCTGTATAGGATCAGGTCCTTTTTTTGACTAGCTGTAATCCCAAATAGCAGCCAGTTCTACAACCTATGCTTTCATGATTTTGAAACAATTTAAAAAAAAAAAAGAGAGAGAGAGAAATTTCTCACAGGAAAGGTCAAGTCTAGGTCTACCTTACAATCTTTTGAAGCATACCTGTGATAATCAGGTGCGACTTGTGCCTAGCTTGGCTATACCAGTATACTACACCAGCAAAACAGTATCAGTGTGGACGTGTTCCAAGTCTGCATCAAGCAGATGTTAACCATGAATGTTTTTTGTACAAAAACATGGAGTGCCTAACTCACTTTGAAGTCAATGGGTAGGTCTCTGAATATTAGGTATCTATTATTTCCTAAAACCTGGCCTACTGTTTCCCAAGGTCCCCTTCCAGTAAGGTTTCCCTAAGTTAAACCAAGTTCCTTCTGCTTCCCTCCACATCCCTCCCATTCTTCTCCTACCTGCCCTGCCTATCTTCGCTCTTCTCTCTTCCTCTTGCATGAGGTCAGCCTGCAATGCGACAGCTCCAGTTGCAAGACTCAAGCCAGTTCCCTTGGCTCTCCAAATCCTGCTGCCTCTCTTGTTTTCACAGTGATGCCAAAACACAAACTGCTTCTGTAATACTAACCACTGCAAACTTTCTTTCTCCTTCCCCTCCACCCCCATGTGCACCTCTATGACTCTGATTAATGCAGGGGTTGAAGGATTCATCTGATCATTTTTGGGGAACACTGTTAGTAAAATCAGTTACGGAAAACTACTAATTGATTAGCAGCAAGGATTCTATGTGGCAATTTATTCTGTTAATCAAAGCGATTTCAAGTCTAAATATCTTGCTAAACTTTATTAGACACTTGTTTAGCAGGTGATCATCATCCTTCTGATGATAAAAAGATACAGAAAAGATTAAACATAGTTTTATTTTGGAGGCAATAATCTCCTAGACACTTGTAAAAAGCAACCCCACTATCTGGGTTACTTTTAGCAACACTGATTATCTAGATTTGCCAATAAGTAAATAGTAATAAAATATTTAACTGAGCACTTTTCATGTAAGCATCTAAAAGCACTACACAAAAGGTAGGTAAACATTACTGACCCTCTTTAGATATGGGGAAGACTACCGCATTCCACTGAGAAGTGACTTACTTGCTCAAGGTCTCTCAGACTTGTTACCAAAAGTTATTTAGACCCCTATATACCTTCGTGGATCTGGCCCTTCATGAGCTAGTGACAAAACCTGGAAGTGAATTTAACTTCTCAGACTCCAGGAGCCATAATCAATCCACTAAACAACCCTGCCTCCCAACCTTTCATTACTGTAACAGTTGCATGAAGCTGTGAAGACAACCTGCCAAGCTATTCACTGATCACATGCTGAAATAGGATTCCAGTTCACAGTCCTGCCTCCCACCCCAAACCACTAATAATTAGATGACCTGCTCAGAAGCCATTGCCCAATTCAGCCACAGAAACCAGACTGGAATACAATGTGGGTTCCTAAAATACCCTATAGTAAAAGATATTCACAGTACTTTGTTCTTCTAAACACACCATGGAAGCAGATGCTGTTCTCAATTACACCAGTGCAAATCTATGGGTACTCTAGACCTTTTCATGCATAGGTGAGATCAAATTTTGTCTGAGGAGTAATCTGTCAATGAATACTAAATAGCTATACCAACTGCTTAATGCTTGAAAATATTCAATATAGTATATTAGTGATGCTCAGCCTTTCAGCTCCATCGGCCTGGTAAGCAGCATAGGGCCAGTCCATGGACCAGATCCCTCACAGAGTCAGGCCCTATGCCACCCCAATCACACCCCAGTCCTGCCTGTCCAATCTTATGTGTAGGGCCACACTATCCAACCCACAGGGCTCCCAACAGATCCTGAAATTTGGCAGCAGGGAAGCAACAATTAATGCTGCCACCACAGTTTCTTTTTAGACAGAGGAAAACAGAGTGCAAAGTCAATGCCAACTTAAACATTATCATCTTCCTTTCCATTACTGGTGAAGTAAATCCAATTTAGTAACTAGTTTAAAGAGCAGTTTGTACTTACTTCAAACTCACTTCTAAAGGGTCATTATATAACCCATGATGCAGGAGTATGGTATGTTGGTATAGTCAAGTAGACATGGATTCCAGCAACAGGGAAAGCAACTTAAATAATATCCCAAATATCTGATGATATTCCTATAAATAACAGCTCCAACCTAAAAGCCCCAGTCCACATAGGTGGAAAGCTGTGTTAGCAGAGGGTAACACTGAAAAACATCTGTGCGTACACGGCCTGCACAAGTTATTAAAATGTCTGTAAACTGAAAGGCTTAAAGCATTTAATAAATAAAACTCAGACTTCTATTGCAAGGTTACAATTTTACAACAAAAGTCATGTCTCTAGGAAACAAAAATTCTACCTAAACTTAATATTTGCTTTTGACACATCGATAATTAACATACGCATAAATACATACTAGTGCTTTTTCAGCCAAAGTATTTAAAGTCCTTTACAACGCAGGGTGAGTAGCGTTATCCCGTTTTTATAAGGGGAAATGGAGTCAGAGAATAAAAGTATCACAGCATATCAAAGAGAAGTAGGAATAGTATCCAGGTCTCCTGACAACAAGCTCAACACCTATCAACTGAAGAATGGTAACTTGAACTTCTGCCTTTTTCTATCCTTTTACCTAACCTGATCATTTAAAATGGATTTGTTCCTCAAAATTAACTAAGATATTTTATTTTCTGTCTCTACATATCTATGCAGATCTAAGTTACCTACTTTATTTATCTTCAAAATTAAAGCTGAAAACTTTTTAGTTCCAATCAAACAGAGCTCAGGCTATTAAGAAAGTAGTACCCACAGCTGCACTGTTTTTCAGTTATGTTATCCTCTGAGCCATAATTTACTAGAGCACCTAATCTACATAATAATGGCCATGCTGCTATTTCTGTATATAATCAATATGCAAATCTCTATACTTAGACTGGTTAACTGTACTCAGCCAGTTGGTACAGTATAAAGGATTAACATGCAAATGGTTGCCACTATACAAATCCATGCATTTTAACCATTCATGCCTGTTGGCCCATTTTAGATCAGATATAAAAAAGGATTTATTTTTAAAAACAAATACCAACTATTGGTTCCAAGGGCCTGGAAAGAGACTGAGAAGTGGAAACCACAATGTTGTTTTGGGCAAATGGACTGGCAGTTCTTAGTGCGGGATGGTTTGTGTTCTGCTCTGGTGGTATCATTCAATACAGGTGACACAGCTGATTACCCCCATCAGACATTCACTTCCAAGTGCAAGCTTTGCTTAGGATAAGTGAGGAAACTTTTATGGGTCTCTTCCTAGGCCGCTTCCCCTTTCTCATGCCCATCATAAAACTACCCCACAAACAAGATGGCATAACCTAACAAAACTGGCTGCCTCAGCACGGTAGAGGCCTGTAGCTGAAACAGCAGGAGCAGCAGCAGACTAGGTGTCAGGAACACTATGACTGCTGTGCAAGGACACAAACCCATATTACACCTGGCTGAAGCCACATATTGTTGTAGTCCCATGACTGAAATTGCTCCATTCAGATTTCTAGAATCCTTTCAAGTTAACCATGTCTCTTTAGACTTTCCACCATTCCATCTCTCTCCCTTCCTCAGCAGCACATCAGCAGATGTTGTATCATCATAACCAATAAATGCAAGGCAACAGCCCTTACAGACATGAGAGATGCAAAGAGCCTGTTACTGAGATACTCTGCCAATATTATAACAGGAAGCTCCAGTGAAAGCAATCCTCTCCGTTCTATGCTGGAACCAGTATCCCGAGTGCACTTGTTTGCAGAAGAAAATATGGATAAGGCCTGGGAATTTATTCAGAATTTCCCTTCAAACAAACGCTCTCATATAACCATGGCCAAGGAAATAGTTATAAGATGGATCCTGGGGAAAATAACATACTTTGAATAGACTGACAGCACACCACCCAGTTCAGCTTATGCATTTGAAATGGGGGTTGCACACAGCATGTTTTGAAATTTATGCAATCTGGTGCATGCAAATGGCAAAATATTTACTCTTCAAAAGGTAAGTTTGAAAAGGACGAGCTCCAGGGAAAACAGCCAAGGCAAGACTGCTCCCTATTTTATATTAGCCGGTACTATCCCCAGTCTAAAAGTTAAGTGCCCCAAGCAAAAAGACTTCTACAACTTCCTTGGAAATCTGTTCCATAGTCTAAGACTATGTTAGGAAGCTTTCTTTTTCCTAGTATTCAGTGAAATAACCTTATTTCTGTCACAGGAAGGCTCAAAACTAAAATTTTTAAAAAGAAGACAGTGACAGATCCATACTGAAGCAGCACATTTACACTGGAATGTCTTGTTAACAACCTACATAAATGCTTAAGGTTAATAATCATCAATCCCTACTGCCACCTAGGCTGATCAGGCTCAAGCCTCACTTGTTAATTCAGAAACTACACCAGCAACTTTATTTTGGATGGACACTTTTCAGATAAAGATGACACAATGCAATACTGAACTGCAAGTTAATTCAGTAAAACCAATTTGCTTCTGGCAATGTAATGATATTCTAGTATGTTATAAATACACCTACTTTCACCACGTTAATGCTTTTAATTCTGTAATTGTCCCAAATAGTAGGTCTTACAGCTGCATGCTGCTAGACTCTGACCCCACTTTTCTCCTTTTATCTTCCCAATCGTTCCATATCCTCCAAGGAATATAAGCTTGATTCTTCCAGATGGCTACAATATGTTCAAACATTATAAAACTGTCAAATATACCAGGGTAAGTTTGTGGTACCGTATAGCACAAAGAGTCCTTGGATAATCATCATGAAAATTTACCAGCCCAGGAACAAAATATACTTGCTTGCTCTTTATCACGATGAACGTATATGCAAGTATAATATTTTACACGCCAATCAAAATAAATTGCTCACCCAAGGCTAACGCAATTTTGCAAAACTGGAATGAAAAGACATCTGCGGGGAAGGAAACAAATTGTATGTTACCAAGTAAGCATGTTAGGAGGTCTGTCCCTGTTCTGTGGAAATGGATGCATTTATCCCATGTTTACTCCTCAGTTACATTACTATGATCCAAGTGTTTCAAATGCGCTGAACAGAGGTTGCTATAAACAGTCTTTGAAACACAAGCACAGAGTCCTGTATCACAGAGAGGGAAATGTTCTGATCATACAGGAAAATACTGCTCAGTATGACACCTCTCCCATTAAATGAGACAACTATGTAACAAAAAAAAGAGCTGTCTATTAGCCTTCTCCCTCATCATCACACTAGAGAAAAGTCCCAGGATAAGCAGGATCAGTCATTACAGGACACCAGGCTTCTAGTCACAGCTCAGGCCTCATGAGTCTCTGTCCAAAGTGCTGTTTTATTGCACCCGTTCAGAGAGAAGATGCTAGGTATATGGAAAATTAATTTAAACCATCTCTACACTTGAGTTCTACAGTTACCGGCACACACATATATGTAGTTATATGCAACAAATTAGGGTACCAGACAGCTCATCAAGGCAGAAGGGGGGAGGACAGTCTAATTTGATTGCTCATAAACCAAGCTGGCAAAAGAAACAGATCACAATGCCCGCGTTCAAGGTGCCAGGGGGGCGGGGGGCGAGGCCCAAATGGCACCGACCCCCCGGGTCCCTTTCTGCTCAAGCAGTGGCGGTCAGTTGTCACCCACACCGGGAAGTGCTCCGCGCCTCCCGCAACCGGCCCCGACATCTCTCGACACACCAGATTTTGCGACCCGTCAGGACGCCCCTCTCGTCGATGCGCGGGGGCTGTTATAACCACCCCCAGCTCCGAAACGCTTGGCGAGCAAGGAGCAAGCATGGGATAAAGACACGGGGCACGCCATCAACGTCTGACCCCGCGTGCACTCACCCACCAGCCGGACGGACCCGCAGACGTCGGCTCCGGGCACGGCCACATCACGAGCTCGCCATCCGCGACCCACGACCCCCGTGCTGCCGAGGGGGAGGAGAAAGAAACCTGGTTACAAGCGAGCGGCGGGGGGAGGGAAAAGGAAGCAGCAAAACGCCCCTGGGAACACCGACTCCCCCCCTCCATCCTCCACGCGGCCCGGGGCTGGCGACTGACCCGGCCGCGCTGGGGGCAGGGGAAGGCCGGGGAGGCGGAGGCGGCGGCGGCCCCTGCCTCACTGCGCCCGCCCGCACCGCACTCACCACTCGCGCCTCATCCGCGCGCATGCGCACTGCCAGGCCCCACCCCCTCCTCGTTGCCACCCCCGGGCGCGGGGGGCGGGG